AGGGAAAGTTTTGGGGGTTTTAGGGCGTTTTGTAAATGTATTAAAAATAAAAAATTAAAATACCCCATTTACATTAGTATTCAGACCCTTTGTTATGACACATACAGTTGAGCTCTGGTGCATCCTGCTCCTGTCAGTGGTTGTTGAGATGCTTCTACTGCTTGACTAGAGTCCAGCTGTGTCTAATTTAATGCCCTGGACATTAATGAGGAAAGACACAACTGTCTATAAGGTCTCACAGTTGGTGGTGTATGTCAGAGTGAAGACAACGCCATGAGGGGGAGAGAACTGTCCACAGTCATGCGGGACAGGAATGTGTCAGGACACAGATCAGGGGAAGGATATGAGAAAATCACTGCAGCACTCAAAGTGCCCAAGAGCACGGCAGCCTCATTCTCAAATGGAAGAGATCTGGAACCAGCACCAGTTCTCCTAGATCTGGCCACCCAGCCAGACTGAGTAGTCAAAGGGCTTTGGTCAGGCCGGTAACCAAGAACCCAAGGGTCACTATGGATGAGACCAGAGCTCCTTTCTGGAGACTCAGCACTCCACCAACCAGGCCTTTGTGGTAGAGCGGCCAGACGGAAGCTATTCATCACTAAAAGGCCCGTGACAGCCCGCTGGGAGTTTGGCAAAGGCACCTAAAGGACTCTCAGACCATGAGAAGCAAAATCATCTGGTCTGATGAAATGGAGCCTGAACTATTTGGCCACAGTTTCAGTAGTGTGTGTGGAGAAAACCAGGCCCTGAGCATCACCTTACTAACACCGTCCTACAGTCGCACACGGTGGAGGCAGCATCAGGCTGTGGCCACTGGGAGACTTGTCAGGGCAGAGGGGAGGATGGATGCAGAAAAATATAGAGCAATCCTCAGTGAAAACCTCTCCAGAGTGCTCAGGACCTCAGGATGGGCCGAAGATTTACATCTCAACAAGACAACACCCCCGAAGCAAGCGGCCAAGAAAACACAGGAGTGGCTTCAGGAAAAGTCCTGCAGCTGAACCCAACAGAGCATCTCTAGAGAAACCTGAACATGGTGGAACACTGACACCCCCCATCCTACCTGGCTGACCCGCAACAATTATGATAAGAACAATGGAAGAAATTTCCAGAAGAAAACTGCCGAGTTTGTAGCTTCATTCTCAAGGAGACTTGAGGCTGTCGCTGCTGCCAAAGGTGCTTTAACCAAGTGCTGAGTGAAGGGTCTGAATACTGATGTAAATGGGATATTTCACTATTTTGTCTGTAATATGTTTTCAAAACACCTGTTTTCACTTTGTCATGGTGGAGTATTGTGTGTAGATTGATGAGGAAAAAACTTGATTTTAATGCATTTTAAGATGAGTGTGAAACATAAAATGTGGGAAACTTGAAGAGGCCTGAAAATTTTCCATACTTACTGCGAGTGCTTGCTCCTTGGTTCACCTACTAACTGTTAGGCAGGATGAGGTTACCAAGGGAGAAATCCAGTAGAGTAAACACAAAGCAATGATAAACAGAGAGCTTTTCCCCATGGGCTTCTCCATACTGTTAATGGGTGACCTCAGAGGACAGCTGGGTCCCTGTGAGGGATTAATGAAATCAGCTGCTCATGGGTTCAATGTGTCCTAGGTGGCTATATCATCACTAGTATTTTATTATTCTAGTATTGAGCCACAAAATCTGAGCATGACTTTACATTTAAAACAATATTCTGCATCCTGTCACTAGTGTTTCCATGGGATTAATGAAAATTTTAAATGGTCTGGAGGAAGACTTGAGTTCATAGAGTTTAACGTTCCCCAGATGTGATTTCTGAAGTGTAACTATATCTTCATTAGATGTTCCCCTCTGTTATTTAGACTCCTCGACACTAGCTGAAGCAGATTTCTTGATTAGAGTCAATATTCATTATGGTAAATGAACAGTAGCTTTAATAAGGTTTTTAAGACATTAGGATACATAATTTTAATACCAACCTACCAACTCTACAAGTCTAACCAACCTATTTACAATCCAGCTTACAACTACCCAAACTGCCAAATTTCCACCCATCTGACCGGTCAAAGTACCTACTAGCAAACTAACCAACCAACATAAACTACCTACCTACCAGCCAATCAAACCACTAGGCAACCTTCTTACCTTTCTGCCAAACAAAGAAACCATCCAACCTACCTACCTACCGAATAAAATTGCCAAAAACATGTCAACCAGCTAAATGGCCACTCAGCTGACCAAACAACTCACCAACTTACAAACCCAATTACTTACCAGACACGTTAATCTACCAACCAACCCATCCCTAGCAACCGAGTAACCAACTAACCTACTTGGAATGACTACAACCAATCAATATACCAATTTTCCTACCTAACTACCAACTGACTGAACAGCCTACATAGTACCTACCAACAAACCAGTCAATCAACCAAGTAAACCCCCATTTTACCTACCTAGAAATCAGCCAGCCAACCAAACCAACCAACCAATTTTCCTATAAACTTACTAATCCAAATACTGCAAACCAAATAGTCTTCCTTCCAGCCAACCTACCTACAAACCTGCTACCTGACCAACTTTATTATCTTTCTACAACCTACCAATCTACTTAGCTTTGTACCTACCAACCAACTGACTGACCAACCACCAAGCCTACCTACCAACTAACCCAAATACAAACCAACCAACCAAGCAACCTACTAGTGACCTATCAACTAACCTTCCTATCTACCAAATGACCAACCAACACACCAAAATACAATTTTACTCTGTACCAACAAAACAACTAAACCTACCAAATAAGAAACCAAACTACTCCTGGCATCTTGCTGTTAACATACCATCATGCCTGAATAGAAACTAAAACCAAAAGCATAGCTTACTGACTATATCTGCAAACCTTGCTGTAGACATGCTACATTTGAACAGGTGGATCAACTTGTTCATCAGAAAATAGTTCCAGAATGTATTTCTGGTTACTGCCCCAACAGTCTTCAATCAACTCTGTGAATGTCTTCCATTTTTGTACTAATGATGAATGTGTTTCTGTGCCTCCGCAGCTCCTCTCTGGTGCAGCAGTATAGCTATGGTTTATGCCCAGTCATCAAACACAGTCGGTGTCAATCCCTCCCGTTACTCTCTATCTTTCCCATATCAGATGTCATTTAACTACTCTAAGAGGGAAAACTCAACTGTCCTGGCCACCTTACCCACAACTCCCCTCTGCAGCATTGAAGGCTTGTCCTCCAGCCAGCTGAATAGGACCTCCACCTACTATGAGCTGACTTCAGGCGAGGTTGCCATCCTGAGCTTGGTCTTTGGAGTTCTCTGGCTGGTTTCCATCCTGGGAAATGCTCTCGTCTGCCTGGTCATCCACCGGAGCCGTCGAACTCAGTCCACTACCAACTATTTTGTGGTGTCTATGGCCTGTGCAGACCTGCTTATGAGCCTAGGCTGTGCCCCCTTCATCCTGCTACAGGTCACCTTAGGACGATGGCCAGTGAGTGCTGTTGCCTGCAAGGTTGTACGCTACCTGCAGCACCTGTGTCCCGGTGTGCAGGTCTACGTCCTACTTTCCATTTCTGTAGACCGCTTCTACACGATCGTCTACCCTCTCAGCTTCAAGGTTTCCCGGGAGAAAGCGAAGAAGATGATCCTGGCTTCATGGCTGTTTGATGCAGCCTTTGTCTCACCCTGCCTCTTTTTCTACAGATCCACATCTACAGACAATAGTCATTGTGACTTTTTCCTTCCAGACAGCTGGGGCAGTGTAGCCTACAGCACTGTCCATCTCCTGTTTGGTTTTCTGGTTCCAGTGGTACTGATTGTGTCATTCTACCAGCGGGTGGTTCGATACATCTGGAGGATCAGCACCGATGGACACACGGTGCGTCGAACGATGAACACTGTCCCACGGACTAAAGTCAAGACCATCAAGATGTTCCTCATGCTCAATTCAGTTTTCTTCATCACCTGGATACCCTTCTATGTTGCCCAGCTGTGGCACCCTAAGGAGTCTGATGGACCCAGCAGGCAGGGACTGCTCTTCTTCACAGTCATTGCTTGGATCTCCTTCAGCTCCACAGCATCCAAACCGACTCTATACTCCGTTTACAATGCCAATTTCAGAAGGGGCATGAGGGAGACCTTCTGCATGTCATCCATGAAATGTTACCGCAGTAATGCATACACCATCACAGCGAGCTCTCGAATGGCCAAAAAGAACTACGTTGGGGCGGTGGACATCCTGGTGCAAGCAAAGACAGTCACCAAAGACTTGGCTTATGATACATTTGACCAAGAGGCGAAGGAGAAGAAGGTAGCCTGGCCCACTAATGCCAACCCTCCGAACACTTTTGTGTAAATGAAGCAGTGAACATACAACAACTTTACACTTAAGAAACAACATCAGTGTTGGCAGGAGAGCTAGCTGGGAGATAACATGCTAGTTCTGCTTTCAGTAGAACAGCTCACAGAAATACAGTGTGTTCGGTTTGTATCAAAGGGCTTTTTTCTGATTTAACAAACTTCTAACCACTACAGTGGACGTTCACAACAGCTAGCATTTTTATACTTCAGAATTTATTTCTCTGCTGTGTTTTCATGGATAGTTTTGCCATTAATGCATCAGAATTTGTGTTTTGACGTCAGCTTGTTTGTTAGCTAACCATAGTCCGTGGCCATCTATCAGTGTTGTAATCGCCTCTATTTGCTAATGTATGTGGTAAAAGCTAACGTGCGTAGCCATGTGTTAACACTGACATCGTCTGCTTTGCCTCATTAACAGTGATGGGTTGGCTAGCTAACATAGCTCCAAAACATAAGTGTGTTCAGGGTAACTGACAAAAGAAAAACTCAGTGCTGTAGAAGAAAGAGCCAGGTTTACAAAGATGCTGACTCTGATTTTAATGGTGAAACACAGTGTGAGTAACTAATCACAGCTAAACACAAATGTGAACAACCTCCCACCCTTTTGCTAAATGCTACAAACTAAAAAAGACCTGTGAAACATGGGTGGCATAAATAAACTTGGCTAAAGGTCAAAAGCAGATGAATAAGATGTGTGGTAGACCTCAATCACAATTTAATACACTGCCCTTTTTCAAAGTGTTGCATTCTCCATATCGTTAGCTTAGCTTATGGGCCACTATGAAGGCTTGGAGCTAGCACCATCAAACACTGTGTTACAGTATTATCAGCATCCTTTCTTGGTTTGATCCTGCTTCTTCTTCTGTTAAATTATTAAGTGGTTGAACTTGATCATTATTACACCCCAGTGTGGCTTTGAAGAAAGCCGCAACAATTATTCGGTCAAGCAAATAGTCTAGTTAACTATCAGAATAATCAATTCATTGTTTTCCACAAAGAAAAGCCCAACTGTTGCAGGTTTTAGGGGCTCAAATATGAAAACATAACACTTTTTGAATCTTAACTTAATCTTGATTTTTTTTAACAGTTTACAACCCTATTTTGGTCACATTAGAGTTTGTAGGGTTAACGTGACTCTGTATAGAAGCTGCTGCAAGACCAGTTTGTTCAGGCAGATGTCAGATCCACCTGTCTGCCGAGGGTTCTCACTTGTCTTAGTTTATATGCGTATATATTTTTTAGAAAATCTTGGGAAACTTTCTGTAAACTGTTACTGAGATGTAAGGCCCTGACTTCATACCTAAAGTCTGTTTAACACAAGTTGCACACACACACACACACACACACACGACCAACATGTGGTACTAATATTAACATTTGTCTAGACTTTGTGTTACTGTTCAAATGTACCAATAAATTGTTTTAATTCACTTAGTAAGCCTACTTTCCTGTGGTCGTCCACATGGTTATTCTTATGATTTTTTTTTTATTTTAAACACTTGCACTTGTTTCAGTGCACAGACAGGTTGTATGGAGCTCAGATGTTCCTTGGATACATGCATTCATTCATTTTCTACCGCTTAGTCCCTGGACGGGGTCGGGGGGGGGGGGGCCAATCCCGGCCCGCAATCGGGCGAAGGCGGGGTACACCCTGGACAGGTCGCCAATCCATTCCTTGGATACATTTCCACATAATTATGTAAGATTAAGATAGTCTCATATACAGTCAGAAAACAATAAAGACACATTAAGGAGCTGAAGGAGAAATACATTCGTTAAAGTCAATAAATCAAGTGGTTTGGTCACATGACCCCTTAAACCTCACTGCAGTCTGCACCTGAGGCTTAGTGTGAACCAGCTGCTGTGACATGTAAACGCCACCAGAGGTCACTGTAGCTGAGCTTTAACAGGCCACACAGTCGCTTGATTTACTTTAAGCTCTGTCAACATTTAAAAGGTTTCACATCTGCCTCGCGCTATTTAAGGTGGTAAGAGTGAGGATTTTAAAAGGTATCTAATCATATTCTCTGGAATTAGGCTAAAAGTCATATTTTAAAATGGAAATTACTAAAGTACAAATACCTCAAATTTGTACTTAAGTAAATGTACTTCATTACTTCCCACTGAAGCAGATTAGCTTCAGTATGTCTGCTAAATGAAAGAGCAGAAGCCGTGCACAGACTCTGACATCACTTTATTTTCTTTCAGAAGCACAAAGAGCAGGGTTCGGTTCATACTTTGCTTCAAAGCCTTGACCTGGCATCATCATCTAACAAAGTGCTTCTACCACAGTTGAGAAAGTGTGCACATTGAAAAGAGCTTCAAACATGTTGCTCAGAAACAAAAACAATGGGCAACATCAACATTCGCAGTCAGCAGAAAGAAGAAACCATACATTTTACAGTGGTTAATATAAGACAGACAATGAGCAGTTGTGGCCAGTCTGTGTAGAACTGACCATCACAGGAGAAGCTCTCACCTCAAAGAGACAAAGGGAAGTCCAACTGGTTCTGCTCAGATAACTGACACATCCAGCCCGGATCAGATCAGCCTGGACGACACAACCTCGAAGCCTTTTTTACGTTTTTACGTCCACATTTTACAAATATATAGTACACTTGTATAACAATGTAACTGCACCACGATTCATTCTGGCTTCATCAGGGGGTCAAAGACCTTTCATTTTCTTACACAAGGCCCGTCAGTCAGTCCCGGGTCAGAAACCAGTAGACAGAATGTGAAATGACATATTTTTAGAACAGTTTCTATGAATCCAGTATCGCTCTAAGGAGTTCTAATGATCTGAGTTAAAAGAGGAGCTGGACTCGAAGCCTGTGTTGTTTGTTCTAAAAGGAAAGTGTGAATGTTTCTGACAGGGGAGATGTTTCGACTGTAGGCCAACCTAGAAATGAGTTCACAAAAAACTATGATGCAATAATAAAATCACACATTCTATATATATACTGTACTTTACAGGATACTCAAAAGAAAAACAGCCAAGGTGAGAGAATAAAAAATGAAGGTCTGAGTTCACTGTGTTTGGAAAAGGAGTTTCAAAGTTTTTATGAAACAATTTCAGTACAAAACAGTTCTAATCAATAAAGGATGGCAGCAGTCTGAGGATGCTGCATCATGAAAACTGAAGTGAGAGTTCAACATTTGGTGTTTTGTACTGAAGAATGGAAATTCACTCTTTACACACATGTTCCTCAACTTTTTCTGTTTCTGCCTCATCTTGGAAGGAAAAACAAATCAAACATGACAACTACTGACACTATGGAGGAAACTGATTAAACGGGGCATGAACCTCCTTTTGCAATGCAAACTAAACAAAATCATATTAATAAAGATGGCAACTGTGTTGACAGTGATGGAAACACGACTCCGGCCTGAAAATAAATCAGAACTTTGAGTCTAAAACTGTTTTTCAGGCCACAGTAGGTGACGTGAGATGATGCAGGTGAGGGTCAGGTTGCAGGTGATATTGTGGTGAAACATGTTTTAGTATCTCAACACAGTCAGTAAAACATCTGGGAAAACAGCAGTAAACTCTTATATTCTAATAAAATGTAGAAATACCCTGGAATACCAACACATGTCACAACCGGGTCCAACTGACCGTAACACATTCTTTGTCAAAATTACATGTTCAAATGGTTCGACAGTAACCCCAGTCAGAACAGATGGAGCCTACTAAGCTCAAGTCGAGCTCCTCTAAACTGCGTTATCATTGTTTGCAACTTGTCTCTGCATCAGGCTGATCCAGGTGTATTTACTTTGTACTAAGCTGAAGTCTGATCTGATCGGTTCTTTACTGTGCTTGTTTGCTGCAGCCAGCAGCTTGTGAGAAACTGGTTGACTGTGTCACATGCAGATGTATTCAGGAACTCAATAAAAGGATCAGATCAGGCTCAGCTAACTTGATCAGGGACAAAACACTCAAGTCCAGTGACAATGTGGACAGACTGTCGGACAGAAACTACTTCCGACACCCTGAGGGACCGATGGCTGAAAACAGCTGGAGCACAGCTCAAATGAAACACACGAAGGTGCATTCATGTGTCTGTGAAACAACTGTCAAATGCAAGAAGTGACACTGGAACAAGCAGGAAGTGTAGAAACTAGAGGCTGTGCCCCCGTAGCTAGGCCAGCGTCCCAGCGAGAGAGCAAAACTAGTGTTGTGCAGAAACGACTGCTCCAGCTCCATCACAGTCGGAGGCTTCCCCCGACCGCCACTCTAACCCTGACCATTGCTGCTGATACTGTTCTTGTTGTTCTTGTTCAACTTGGTGCCGCTGCCTCCTTGAGGCATCTTCTGGTCGTCTCCAGTCAGCAGAGCTTTAATCTCCGACGGGATCTTCCCCTGATCCATGGCAGAACACCACTGTTTGTACTGCAGGGGGAAGCGACACAAAGTCAGCTGGTCTGAAACACACACACAGACTCACACAGTATGCTCAGGATTTAAAGCACACTACTGAGACTCGGTACCCAGTGAGGCAGTTCTCAGCCTGTGGAGCTGTTTGTTGGAAACACTGACTGCAGCCTTTAAGTAACTAATGAGAAAGGTCTGAAAACAGGGCCAACACATCTAAACTGAGTTTATAATAAAAATCACCAGTGAGAACTTGCCCAGAGCAGAGTATGACCCTGTGAGAGGCTGTTTCAGCTGGATTCCAGCAGACCCCTCCACCATCTGCACCACCGGAGGCCCCGACTCTGTGTTTCTTACCTTACCGACAAGGCTCGAATTCACGCAAACCGTAGTAAATGTGAGTCGCCTGCAGCTCGTAAACTCCTCATCTCACTCAGGAAAATGACTGAAGTAACTCAGTAACAGGTCAAACTGGGACATTGGTTTAGAGGTAGTAACCCAGTGATAGACGCCGGCCAACACCGGTGGAATGTTTCACACATTTTGATTTATGATTATGGAGGAAAATTCTATTCCCAAAACAAATGCAGCTGCTCCTGCACTGGGAGAATGTAACTAAGCACAGCTACAGTTCTGAGATACTTGTAACTTACTGGAGTTTTTCCTCCTCAGAGGGAAAACCTTCTACTGCATGTTGTTTATCTGACACCTGAAGAAACTATTCACTTTAAGGAAAAGCTATCCCACTGACTACACGGTGAAGATGTTTCTTTACCATCTCTAGTTCCTCTCGCAGGGCACAGATGGCTCTCTCCTTACTGGAAACCAGTTCCTCCAGATACTGGTACCTCAGTTTCTTCCTTGCTCTGCACTCTCTGGCACTCTGCCGGCTTCGCTCCAGTTTGGCCTTGAGGTCGATCTTTGCAGGTTTACGGCCACGTTTCCCCGGCTTCTTCACTTTGCCAGCCAACGTCTGACAACGGAGAGGATATGTGTGATAGAAGTTACAGAACAACACAAAAACAGAGAAAGTAAAGAGTCATGCATTGTTGGACTTTCTGTGTAAATAAAATCAAACAAGGCTTTTTACCAATAAATACACGTATGTGTATATAAAGGGTATAAAAAGTAGCTATATACAACTGAGAACCAAACAATACGTCACATATAACATGTTCATTTTCAATGCAGCTGCTGACAACAGGGCATTGGCACCATGTTTACATGGCAGTGAGCACCGCTGGCAGGTAACGGGCTCTCGTTATAAACATAATACACTGTTCTGTATGAGGACTGGTCATTTTAATGGTCTGTGAAAGGACCCGAAACAACCCTAACCCTGCTAATGTCTAACTCAGGAGTTCATTCTTGGACAAGTTCCCTATATGCTGTTGTCCAAGTCAGTCTAGTTACAGCCAGCTAGCCAGGGTCTTTTAAATAGCTTTGGAAAACCACAAAGAGAGCACATCGATCGACCAAAGAAAGTAAATTGAGGTACACGAATTGTCCGACGTCACATTTTGTCAGTACTCCCAAGCTTTAAAGATCAATTATTCGTAGTAGGCACTACGAGTATGACCCCTAACCCTTCGCTCAATTCTAACATAACCACTCGCCCTCGACTTGCATGACAGCTGCTATATAAATCAAATTAGATTTGACTTGATGAGGTGACTACGATGAGACTCAACACAACCACAAACAGGCGGTTTTAGGTCACTTTGTCCGTGTGAATAAAACGATTAAAACGGTATAAACCATTTGTTCATTTGAGTCTTTGGGCCAAGTCCAAAAGTTATAATTGTTAGCCTGCAGCAGGTGATAAACGCGTTCAAGGCCTTTGTACAACTATAAATAAACTACCACACCATGCCCTCGAAAAGCAACTAGTTCATGTATTAACATTATGACCGGTGTCAAAATGGGCCTGGGTGCAACATAACGTTAAATAAAGAAGGTAGTTCTTGTTAATCCCAAAGCAGCATTAGCTTCTTACCTTGCTATCATCCATTTTGGCCACAGCTACCGCGCCGGCTGCTAGCTCACGTTAGCTACACTCAGCTAACAGCCTTGTTGGGAGACACAAAGGTCGGTATGATATAAACTTTTTGCTAATTCGTGTTTATGACAATAACACAGACAAAACATAACCGAGATAATTAACGTTAGCGTGATGCTGTTTACGGCCGGTTTCCTGTTGACGCAACGACGTCAGGACTTCTTCTTCTTCTTGTGATGTTTATTGGCGGTTTGCAGGCCACCTTAAGGTGCATTACCGCCACCTGCGGTGCTGTTTTGTCAACGACTTTTTCCTTAACAAACGTTTATTGGTTTAATGAAAACAACAATGGGCAATGTGAGGGGTAAAGAGGACACAAGTGTGGTAAAATAAACACACAAAACAAAGTCAAACAAAAAATGACAACAGTCTTTTACTGAATATCTCATACTTCTGATGTCAAATGTACAACAGTGTGACATTGTAAGCCAAAACTATAGGATAGTAAGTTGCAATAAGTCTCCATTATTGTGTCGCAATTTTGACATAAAACTCAGAAAATGTGACATGTATTTCACTAATTTGACATTATTTGCTTTGTATGTGAGAACGTTTGTAAAACTGTTGATTTGGTATCTCCTAAATCTTCACCCCCACACATATAAAGCCTCACGGTGAACCTCAGGGATGGGTTTCAGAGCGCTCACCAGAAGCAGAAAGACACATGGTCCAGCTCTGATATTTATTTACAGGTTTTCAAGCAGACGCTGAACATTCTGGATGCTAATGCTGATTACTGGTAAAACAGATCCTCATTTTAATTTCAATTGTAAACAAAGAGGTATTTTGTCACCAACACACTGCAAAAATATGACCAGATAATAAAAACAAAACTAATAATTATTGATCTGCTCCAAAGGTCAATAAATAAACATCAGATGTAGTCAGAATTATTCAGCTTAATCCGTCTTTTTTTTTTTTAATTCAAGTTCTATTCATTTAACCATTAACAGTCATGGAAATAGGCCATTTTAATCAGAGGGGGCTGTAATATTGTTTATCTGCATGTAAAGTCTTTTAAAGGGGAAAAAAAAAATCCCTTAAAATCAACCAAATAACACACAGGCTTCCAAAGTATTAATTTTTCATTTGAGGTGAAAGATGCATTGATGGCTTTTTTATGGTATTTTGCCAATTTTAAGGGATTTCTTGTGTAATTGAAAATTTAAGGCCATATTAAAGTACAAATTAAATACGCAAGTTTATAACCCTTAAAATCCCTTCAGTGATGTAGATATTCCATTAAACACAGCATAATATATCAAAATAAAATCTTTATAAAATGCCCCTTAAACAACCTTTATTTAATCCTTAATTTAGCCAGGAAAACAGTCCAGGTCCCTTAATTTGAAAAACGATACTCCTTTAAGAAGCAAATTAAGTAGATTATAAGGGTACAGGACAAAGGTATAAAATAAATATTTAACGACCAAAGACTTTTATCTAGATGGATGTTTTCAGGAGTAAACAAAGGATTAATTAAAAGATATTTTCACTGTTCATCAAGTGACAATATCCTGTACCTGTTTCTAATGCCGAGGAGAGTAACAGCATGTTGGTTAACGTGGCAGAGGAAAGGCCCGTTCATACAACATCTCACAGTTGCACTTTATTTACAAGGTAAAGACAGAATATGTACAATTGGTTGTGCATCTAGCCACAGGGGTTTCACGTCTGACTTCTGTGCTGGTCCCAAGCCCAGATAAATAAAGACGGTTGTGTCAGGAAGGGCATCCGGCGTAAAAACCTGCCAAATTACTCATGAGAAATGGATTCGCTGTGGCGACCCCTAACAGGAACAGCCGAAAGTAGAGTAGAGTAGAGTAGAGTAGAAAGACAGAATATGTACAAAGATGCCGTGAGTCTCAGGTTCTGGTTTCAGCCTCGCAGACCTCCGTCCAGAGTCAAAGTCCCGAACCTGAAGGACAGACACAGGCTCAGGTTAATGCAGATTAAAGGACTAGTCTGGTGTTTTCCTCAGAGTTAGGTGAAAACATGGATTTGAGCTGAGCTTCATCAAGAGGGAAAACAACAAACCCACCTTCACAAGCTGTTTATCTAACAGGCACAGCAGAAATGTTAAAGAATAATCACTAAAACTCCCTAGTCTTTATAAAAAATGGACTTAATGTCATTTAAAGAGGATAATTACTGCACATTACATATCACCAAATAACATGAACATCAGCCCTGAAGTTTCACCTTGACCAAAAAGAGATAAAGGACAGCTTTGTTACTTAAATGTAAAGGTTGCAGGGCTAAACCCAATTATAGGGTTAATGTATAATTAACAAATATTAATATATTAAGGGGTTTTAAACAGTGTACAAACAGGGTAATTTATACATTAAAAGGGTCTTAATTTATCTGTTAAGGTGAAAATTTGTCTTTCATGCTATTTGGCACATTTACAAATTTTAAGGGCTTTTAATCCCTAAAAACTTCCTAAACTGTACAGAAATCCAATTAAAATTTATATACATTAAAATATTACAACTCATTATTATCACCTTTAAAACTGACCAAATAATATTAAACCCGTCCCTGAAACTTTAACTGAAAACTTAATAGATTTCTTTAAGGCATACATTAATGGAAAGCTGCTGTACTCTTTTAAGTGGTCTGTACTCATTAAAAACCCCTTAGCTCACGAAAGAAAACCCGCTGTCCAATTAAAATACCTTAATTGATCCCTTAAAATTGAGGAAATAGTCTTAAAACTGTCCTCTCATTTTGTACTTCATAATGTCAATGATTCAGTTCAGTTTAGGTTTAATGTTGTTTGGTGAACTTTACCATGTTTTCACCCCTAACAGTTAAAATGTGATATTAGATACTGGATTGTGTTGCACTGGCAGGAGCTTCTGTCAGAACGCCAAACACTCCTAGTGTAGCACAGTCCTGCACACAGGTGAACCAAGGCCTCTGTGAAACACAAACTGAACATCGTCTCCTTCATGAAGGAGGGTTCGCTGCAGCGCTGTTGTGTTAGACTGACTCAGCTGAGCTACAGCAGGTGTCCCTAATAAACCGAGCACTGAGCGCGTCTGTGCTGGAAGTGAAAGTGGTGCGTGATGCTGCCTGACCTCTCTAAGAAGTGGTTGTTCTCGGCCAGCTCCTTGACCACGCCCTCCATCTCCTCCTTCAGCTTCTTCATCCTGAGCAACAACACGCAGTCAGAAACACACACATCCTCCACAGCTCAGCTCTGACACACTCCACTGGAGGTAAAACATGTGACTCAAACACTGACCCAAGGGTCATCTCCACCAGCGTGTTCTGGCTCAGGTAGGCCTGAGGCTTCATCCCACTGGACACCAGAGGAAGGACCTTCTGGGGCATCTGTTCCTGCAGCTGGACGACACACACACTTTGAACTAGCAGCACAACAACTCAGCTTCTCTCAAACAGCAGCTCAGTGCACACACGCACACACACACACAACTAAACCCGATGAAATACCAATTTATCTGACACAGCTTCACCTGCAGGTTCTTCTTTAAACCTTCACACATCTAACTCCACTTTGAACAGTGTAAGGCTCAGCTGTCTGGTCACATGACAGTATTTACACACCTGATATCCAGGTGTGTGTCTTTGTCGTTTACCTTAATGGCTCTCTCCATCAGCATGGTCACCTCCTTCTCGATGCTGATCAGCTGACCGGACAGCCCGAGCAGCTGCTTCCTCACGAGGTGAACCTTCCTGAAAACACAACACGTCACTGTTCACAGCCAGATGTTATCAGAGCGAGCTGAGCGCACTTCCTGTCTGTTAACATAGATGAACAAAGAGCAGACGCTTCACTGTCGGCGTTTTACCTCATCCACTCTTCACTCTTGGAGATGAAGAGACGATATTTCATGGCACACTCCTCTGTGAACAGAGATCGGGCTTTACTGGCATGAAGCACCAGCTTCTGTCTGTCAGAGAAACACACACAGGTCAGGGCTTCAAAATAAAAGCTCAGAAACAGATGCGGCGTCGGTGATGCCTGCTTTCTGTGAACTTACTTGTCAAATTTGTGGATCTGTTCCTCGTTGTACGGCAGACCTGAAGGCAAAACAACAATCATGTTATTGTGGAAAATGGAACTAAAACTGAGACGGTGCCAAACACAGTGTTTTATTTTAGCCGGCAGCCATGAAAGCTGATGACGATACTGCCCAGTTGATTTTATGACACACTACCAGCCGACAGACCTTCGAGCTCACGATTGTGTTGAAAAACTCACGTCTCTCTGCTTTGTCCTTCTTGAACTGTTGGTAGATGGTCGTGATGGCGTCCAGTAGGACTTTGATTTTCTCCACGCTGCGAAGACAAGCCCGCCATCACACACTGATTTACTACACACACTGTCAGTGGGTTTCTCGTATGTAAACAACTCACTTCCTGTCCTCAGGGTGCGTCCCCACTTGCTGTGTCCAGCTGTCGGTCAGCAGGCCTCCTGGGAGATATTTGCTCTTCAGGTCCTGTGTGGTTCGCTCTATGGGCTCCAAAGAGCTGGAGATCTGCACGCACACACACACACACACCACCAACTCATGCATGTACACCCAGAAACACGTCAGCTAATAACACCACAGCTACATGCAACGTGTTAGAAATGCCCTCGTACACCGTAGTAAACACCGTGGCAGCCAACCACTAAAGGTGTTTAGGTTGTTCCTGAGGCTTCGGGGACAACCTGGTCACACCAGGAAGCAGGACAGAATGAACCTGCCGGCTTTGTGAAGCATTTGGTCGTTTCACTGTTTAACTAGAGGGGAGTGTTTGTGCAGACAAACGTCACGCCTGCGAGCAAATCCACTCAACATGCTGTCATCACAGGTACAAACCAAAACAGTTGTGTGATGTGGCCTTAACGCCTTAGGATCTCCCTTAAACATCTTAGCAGCCACATGCTAACCTTCAGAAACATTGAAGTGACTGCTAAACACACAGACTGTATTCCCGCTGTGAAGCAGGTCTCTATGCTCCCCCAGACTGGGAGCCCTTAACTTGGCATGGTAATATGTTGAATAAATACAGAGCGACCTTTCAGTGACAAACTACTGGCTGGGGCTGCCTTGTACTGTCATGCACACTGGCTGACAAAAAATAAAATAAAAACAAAGGCTCGACTAGAAGACTCTTAGTCAACCGAGGAGTTTAATGACTCTTGGGGGTGGCTGTGGCTCAGGAGGTAGAGCGGGTCGTTTCCTAACTGGAGGATTAGTGGTTCGATTCCCGGCTTGTCCAGTCAACATGTCGAGGTGTCCTTGAGCAAGACACTGAACCCCCAGTTGCTCCCAGTGATGTCACTGGTGTGTGAGTGCATGAGTGCTTGGGAGTGCGAATGGGTGAATGGCCGAATAATGTGAAAGCGCTTTGAGTGTGCTGTAAAAGCATAGAAAGGTGCTATACAAGTATAAGACCATTTACTCTACTATTCAACTATTTGGGGGCAGCCCCAGAATATTCCTCCACTGCTGTTTTTTTTTTTTTTTAAGAAAAAAGGTGCACAATCAAAGTCATACAATGTTGTTTAAATGTGCAAGTTTTCAAAAAAAAAAAATGCAAATAATCTAACATTTTTCTCAGTCTCTTCACCCCCCCGCTGTACCTTTAAGTATTTAGATTGTAATGAGAAAAATCTTTTATATGTTGTTTAGGTTATAAACAACACCAATGACAAAAACACAGCACATGAAATCTTTAATTAGATGTATAAAAATACGTTAAGCTCTCCTTGTTGTTGTTAGAAGTTAGCTAAAGTTTCAGGTATATCACATTCCTCTGACCCACCTCTTTCATACCGCAGCGATTACAACTGTAACTAGATACGTCAACATGCGACTCGTGTAGCGTGAAGTGGGACTCACTCTGACAACTTTCTTGTGCATGTCGGAGATCTCGTCGTACTCCGTCGACAGCACGTTGGCCTGCATCAGCACCTCAAACCTGCACAGCAGCAGAGAACAGCATCACACTCTGACACATCTGTGCTGCACATCATCACTGCCACTTCAGTGCACGCGCAAGTCACTCACAGCTGCTCGGTCTTCTCCAGTATCTGTGTGCAGTAATTACACAGATGGAAAACCTCCGACTTCTTGTGCTGGATCTCGGTGTAGTCCTCCTTCATCAGCTCTCTGGACATGAAGAAGACAAGGTCAGTAGCTTGTTCTCCATACAAGAGGTCAGAGGTGTGTAGAAACACTGCTCCTCACTTCTATACTGTTTTTACTGTATTTTCACTGTCATTTAACTTGTTTGGATATAGATGTTTGTGTTTTCTAACCAGGGTCATGTGTTTACATCATCCTGATTCTTTTTGATTTCCTTTGCCTTTGAGATTTTTTCCATCAGAAAACTGGTTAGAAAAGGAAAAACTGGACGACTCTGTTGCATTTTCTGATCTGCTTCAAGTGTATATGATGAACACACTATTCTATTACATATTACCGCTGGACTGGTGCCTTGTTTGTTTTTGACCATTACAATGGCAGCAAACAGGAAGTGAGACACACTGAAACTCATTTGCTCACAGTCATTCAGTGAACCTGAATCTCTGAACTACTGCCTTCACATCTTTGACTCGGAGAAAGTTCAAAGAGGCCAAAACACATGTTCAAGCTGAAACCCAGTTACTACCTCTGCAGTGAACTTACATTAAACCTCGAACTCCTTTTCGCACCAGCTCCTGATAAACTAGCAGAGACTCTGAGGTTTTCCATAAATGTCCAACGTCACCTGCAAAAGTCTGAACAACAGCAACAGGAAGGTCAGTGTGCACGTTTACATGTGATTAAATAACACTAGTCTTATCACCAAGGGTTTAAAGTCTGTCTGAGCTCTGCTTAATCTCAGCTGCACTCTGTTCCCCTGATGCCTGGATAGAAACAACAGTGAGCTGCTGTTTTAGGAAGAACGAAATGGATCTGTAACTGTGAGGAGAGAACACACTGTTGGTTTAGGTTTGTACATCAGATCTGTTGACAATAAGAAAAATATAAAATAACACCAGGCTGATTCAGTCTCCTGTTGGAGGAAGGTTGAGGGGCTTCACTTTTTTCCATCTATGCCTTTATTGCACCAATTGAAATAAGAAGAGCTTCTAGTTTTTCCTGCCTCTTGAGAATGTGCCATTATGTACAACCATCTCAGCCATAATTAGCCAGTAATTACAATATTACAGGTTACTGAATCAGCAGTAATCTGGAGTCTTTGTTAAAGCGCTACCTTTGCGTAGCTGGCATCCAGGTCGAGGTCATAGCGAGGCTGGACTTTAGGAGGACTGGCTGTGAAGACAAAAGCACTCAGGGTTACACTGTGGCCAGAAGTCAGAATGTCCTTCATCATATATAATCCTCTTTAGCACCTGTTAGCATCCAACCATGCAACTTCACGACCGCACTGTTTGGACAAAATAAAAGGACAGAACAACAGAACTCTTCACTGCAAGTTTGGGATATTTTACTAAGAAATGCAAGAACAGAAAAATGAGACTTTTAGATGTTTTACACTTGAAGTCTTGTACCATCTTAAGGTTTAACATTTATGATTTAAGACGTTTGAAGAACTGAAGTCTCAAGCTCCAAACAGAGCAGTAAGAGCTCTTTTTTACGCATGGCAGTAAAAGGAGTCAGCAGGTGTCAGAACGTCACATTTAAGACTTTTGACAGCATCCCGGACCAACTTATAATCCAAGATAAATAAGGCTGTTAAATGAGCAGTGGTCGAGTAGGAGAAAAAGGAACAAGAAAATTAATGAAGAGATAAAATCCTTCTGCTAAACCTGGTCTTTATGAAGCTACATGTGGACAAAAACCATGTGGGAGTGATTCAGACTAATAGGTTTGAAGACCTTTTTACTTTGACCTATTTAAAACTTTAGTTGAAGTGTTGTGGCCCTGCAGGCCACCCAGGTGAACTACGTACGGTCTTCAAAAATGAGGCCAACAGTGGCAACAGACTCGCGGCTGATGAGCATGATCAGATTATCTCTGGAGGTCTTGGGGAAGGTCTTGGCCTGGCGGTTGGGGTCGAGGACAAGGCGGCGGCCCTCGTACAACAGCTCCTGGTTGTGCAGAGGGATGCTGGTCCGGCGGGACAGCAGCTCCTGGAACAGCGCCGCCCTGTGGACACATGAGCAACAGTAGTGGACAACTTTACATCCAGAGAGGAAGAACCGGTCAAACCCTGAGAAAAGTCTTGCATGCTGGGACTGTCTCCAGCCCTACACCGTCTCCTGATACAGCACAGACATTGAACCAGAGGACTAACGACATTTTAATAAAGAAATTTGAAATGTTCCTTTATGGTGCGTCTGTGCATGAAACATGGGGACCACCACTGCAGAATCAGTCATATCATTACATAAATAAACTTGGAGAATGACCCAGAGTATTTCGACTGAGGAAACTGAAGTCAGTAGCTGGGTTTACACTGTTGTATGCTGCATTATGGGCAAAGACAGAATCAGAATCAGCTTTATTGGCCAGGTGTGTTGGACACATGAGGAATTTGACTCTGGTACATCGGCTCTCAATGTGCAAACAGTAAACCAGCATAAGGCTGTGTAATATAACAAAAATAGCAGTATTTACAAGCAACAGAAAGTGCAAACAATGCAGAATAAGCAGTATGAACAGACAGTAACAGTGCAGACAACAAAGGAATGTTCTTTGAAATTAGATAAATAGGGATAAAACAGAGTACTTAAGAACTAGAGACCTGGAACAGGAACAGGAGTTTTAAAAATCTGGGCTGAGTCCTGATTCAGCAGACTACTGGCACAAAATTTACTCCACAGCTGACACAGAGCGACATTGCGCCTCGCCTCTGGTACAGAATGCCGGCCTGCTGTCTGAATTCACACATATATTTCATCTTAAAAACTATCGTCTCATCCTGGTGAACCCAGTATTGTCTATCATCCTGTCTGGTGAGCTAAATGTATCATCACACTCCTACTTCAGAGTGAAGGCTATCGCCTGGTTGCTGTTTTCAGTGGGATGACTTATGGTCAGGATAACTAAAGGACAAGACCGGTCATCCTCTACATCAGCAGTGTTTTCAACACTCCCCATACAGACACTAAAACCAACAGTGGATTCCCCACAGTTAATATCTGTCAGTCTCCAACCTGGATTAGCTTATCGGTCTGTGCCGTAGACATCGGACTACAACCACATCTGTGAAACACACTGCTGCACAAGGTGACATGTTGCCCCGAAGGCCACACGTTTCATGTAAGCGCGAGTCAAGTGAGCATGTGCGAGTCTTACGTGTTGTACTCGTGGATGTAGATGTGGTGCAGCGTTGCCTGCTGCAGACTGAAGACGTACACCACGGTTCTGTGCAGGATGTCGTTGGTTTCTGCAAAGAACTGGTCAAAGCCCCAACATTTCTCCTGATCTGCCTCCAGGATGTTGGCGAGTACCGGGGTCAGCAAGCTCTGAAGACCCCTGACACATGAGAGCAGAGGAGAAGACGGGTTGTGATGAACAGCAGGTTGGATGTACAGAGGAAAACAAGCTTTATGCTAACTCTGGTACAATATGGGAACAGTCCTGTTTAACATAGTACATGGTTTCTTACATAAAAATAAATGACCACAGCCACCATGTTAGGTCACAGGGAGATGCTGACTGGTTTGATTTGCTCCTGGGAGTCTACTGATGTCGTTGCTGGTCAAATGATTTGTCAGTCCCATGAATTCATCTGCCCCAGCTTTGTCCTGCATGATTAGGTAACAGCACAGAAGGAAACTGTGGAGTTGAGCTCCCTGTATCCCTGTCACTGTTACTTCAGGTTGTTGGTTTGGTCGCTGGAACGCTCGTTTGTCCATGGATGTTTGTTTTTTGATCCACTAAATAGGTTTTCCTATAATGACTTGTGATAGCCACAAGCTAGCGGGTAAGATGTTAACTGCTGTGTGTTGCAGCCTAACACTTTTCTGTCAAGAATCAAAAACTGTAGAAGTTTTCAAGCTTTCAAACAAGATAGATACCTCTCGTATATCTTATACACAATATGCCGGGGGGGAACATGAATGTATGAACTATTACAGACAAGTCTCAGAACGGCCTTCTGGACATCAGGAGGTTGAAAGGGGTTTTATGAGACAACCAAAACATTTAACTGTAGAAAGGTGTGAGCGTGGCGGCAGACTGAAAAACCTCTCCAGCATCGCTAGCACTAGCATGTATTCATGTACAGCAGCAGTTCTTACTTGGACAGACTGCAGGACACTGGCATCTCTGTGCTCCACTCGATCTTCCCGTTCTCACACTTCTGATGACCGGAGATCGTCCCCGATGGCTTCTCTGTGATGATTTTATACCTGAGACAAACAAACGGGCCACTCAGTTTAGAGCTCACCTAGTTGTTCTACTCAGAAACAAGCTGAGGTCAGCACCGTGTTCTCACATGACTTCTTTGTTCCTGCGCGGCCCTTCGAATGGCCTGAAGGGCAGGCTGCCGGTGGCGGCATGGTAGAACGTGACCCCGATGCTCCACAAGTCCACTGTGGCTCCGTACTTCTTCTGGTGGTCTTTCCTCAGCACAGCTCGCTCGTACATGTCGGGGTGCTGCGCAGCAAACACATGAAGAAGTATCAGCATTCACAAACTCCTCTGGTGTCTTTTCACAGCTTTTACTGTTTCCAGGACACTTCTTCAATCATTCATTTATTTATAAAACTCAATTCACACAATCACGCATCTCCACATGCTTCACTTTAAACTAAAGTCAAATCATTGATTACTTATTCACATTTCTTATTAATCAATAAAAACACAGTGAATCAATAAAAGGGAAACAGAGATGAACAAAATACTGGTTTGTAAACCAGTGGGGCCCCGTGGCACACTGAGGGCCAGGCTGAATGTAATAGTATTACATATATGAGTAACAAAGCCATCCTTTGTCTGATTGATAAATTTATCCATCCATCCATCCATTTTCTTCCGCTTATCCGGGGCCGGGTCGCGGGGGCAGCAGTCTAAGCAAAGATGCCCAGACCTCCCTCTCTCCAGACACTTCCTCCAGCTCCTCCGGGGGAAT